GAGGGGTGCCCCGTGGCCAGGCCTCTCCGGAAGTCTGGTGCCCGAGCGCTGCTCTCGAGGCAGGGGCTCGATGGTGGGGCCGCTGCCGCCCCCCCGCGGCGATGGGCTGGAGAGCGCCGGCTGCCCCTCGGGGCGCGGTTTGGCATGGGCCTGGGAGCTGACCGGTGTGGTAGGCTTTCTCTGGGGTGCGCTGGGGGCCTCCGCATCGCCAGTCTTGGACGTCAGCTTTACCTGTGTTAAACCTGCGTTGCCAGTCTGGGATGTCTGCTCTTACCTGTATTAACTTTTAACTTAAGGAATGCTGTTTTCTGTGTAGAGAGCTGGGGGAGGGAAATCCTTAGCAGACTTCATCAGTCTCTCCTTGTCTACGAAATAAATACTGTTGTCATTTTCACGAAGCTCCACGATGCTGCTTTTTCTGCTAAATGATGAGGAGGGTGTTTGCTGCTTTTGAGGTGGGAATGGAAGAGGTGCGTGGGTTTTGTTGGCTGTGCTGCCCCTCGGGGCGCGGTTTGGCATGGCCCTGGGAAGGCTGACCGGTGGTAGGCTTTCTCTGGGGTGCGCTGGGGGCCTCCGCATCGCCAGTCTTGGACGTCAGCTTTACCTGTGTTAAACCTGCGTTGCCAGTCTGGGATGTCTGCTCTTACCTGTATTAACTTTTAACTTAAGGAATGCTGTTTTCTGTGTAGAGAGCTGGGGGAGGGAAATCCTTAGCAGACTTCATCAGTCTCTCCTTGTCTACGAAATAAATACTGTTGTCATTTTCACGAAGCTCCACGATGCTGCTTTTTCTGCTAAATGATGAGGAGGGTGTTTGCTGCTTTTGAGGTGGGAATGGAAGAGGTGCGTGGGTTTTGTTGGCTGTGTGCTCCAGCAACACAGTGCAAGGAAATACAATGCCCTCTGACCTTTCCTAGTTTCACACTTTCATTTTCCAGCTCCAGTAGTTAGTAAAATGAAAGTGTAGGTCTTCGTTCCCTTCGCACCGAGGTTCCAAACAGCAATGTGCTTCAGTAACATACATTATCTGTCTACAAGTAGCTGTTTGGTCAGCAGTAAGTGAAGATACTTGTCATGGATTTGTGAACGACGAGGATATAGCGTGTATACATTAATCTCAAGCCACGTCCCAGTCCAAGCCCGTGTGGCATCTTTCATGAATGCAGTAGATGTTTACAGGTACGCCTTGCAAGATCCTATCTATAAAAAGGAATTGGGTGGGAATGTTTTGCCTACCTTAACCAACCTGTGAACAGCCACCTAAAAACTGTGTAGTGCCAAGGTCTCTACTAACAACCATCTACTGTATAAACATGTGCAATGCCAGGTACGTGGGGTTTTGTCATGGCAAAAATACGCTGCTGCTTGTATTAACTGGTTATTCGGATACTAGTTTTGTTAAACGGAAGAGCTGCAAAAGGCGTAATAGTAATTCTGTTCTGACACTTGGTAACATCACGTGACTTCTTTAAAATGTAGTTAAAAGTAATTTAGTTGACAAGTCCAGTTTTTTTTTTTTCTGGTGAAGTGTATTTTTAGTTTTATATCAGTAGTTTTTGGCAGTAATTCTTAAGTTTTCAGGGAACTCACAGATATAAAACCACAGCTGGATCCACAAATTGATGGAGGCTGTTGATTGTTATGGCCTTGCCTTGGCTATCACAAATATTATAGCAAGTGTATCTCTTGTATGTCTACTCTCTGTTCCTTTTTCTGTCTGAATTGCTTAGAATACAGCCTTTTTAGAAAGTGGAGTTTTTCTCACTGTAGAAGTGTATTTTATAGATTGTAGTATTGTTCAGTTTGCGTGGGTCTTAAAATTGTGTTTCACAGTGAGCAATACTATGAATTATTGATCTGTGTCATTCTGGACTGGTTTAGGCGTTTGTGAAAAGAGTTCTGGAAGTCGGATTTCACAAGTCTTACTTTTCTTACTGAAGTAGAAGTCCAGGGCTAAAGTGAGGCAGAATGTATAGGATCTTGGTTTCTAGTTATGTATCAGTGCAATGGCTATTAAAGTGCAAGGAGCAGGCTGTCACCAGAGCTGGTTGTCATGCTGCTTAGGATGAGAAATTGAGTAGTGCTTGTACTGGGTTTATTTATGAAACAGAATTTTCTAAGTATGTTTTGGGACAGTCTTGATACAAAATTTTGTATTTTTTGAAGTTTGCATTCAAACAAGCCACTAAAACAATCTTTATTTCATGTTAACATTTCTGGTTAGTGCAAAGCTTTCTCATTTCTTGGAAGTGACTTTCTGCCTGCCTGACTCATTCTGTGCTCTCATTATTCAGTGGACGTCACATCAGAAGGTGTATTGGAGGTGATTGTAGTGAACAAATACAGAGTTTATGATACCGTTAATTGAATTGGACAGAAAGAAAAGGGTTAGGAAAAAATGCTGTCTAGGCATCCTGTAGTAAAAGTATTTTTTGGAAAGGCAAGAACAATTCTTGATCATGTAGGAAAGATTCAGTCATGGTTTGGTAAATCTGAAGCTTTTCACAGCCACGGCTACTGTTTGCTGTCAAATGCATTGTGTTTGAGGTGTTTATTTAGAAAAAATGGCTATAAATTAGGGAAAGAGGGAAGAAAACCACAAAACCTCCAACATGAGTGTTGTGTATTTTATCCTAAATTATTTCATTGGAAAATTTTTAGGCATTGCATGTATGAATACTGAGTGTATATGGATATAAATCACTTCATTTTTTCAACTGATTTGTTGTAAACCTGCTCATAGCCTTTCTTCCTCTACTTATTGTAGCTATTCTTATCAGAAATGATGCATCCTAAAGAGATCAGTCTTCTTTTCTTTTGACATTGTATTTGAAAGAGTAAATACAGATTTTTTTAAAAGTATGTTTAAGAAGAGAAGACTATAAATTCACCTTGTCTGTGAGTTAAATTGGAATCTAGTACTTTCTACCTAATCATCAGAATGTGCACGTGTTAGGTTTTCTTTACACCCCTCACCCCCCTTACATATTTCTGTATGGTACATAAACCAAGAGGGAGCGGGGAAAAAGCTCACTTTGCTGGAGGAAGTCAATGTATTAACATTGTTTATGCAATATTGCTGACAAAAGTATAACGAAAAATATAAAACTTAATTTATCATTACAATAGGCATGCAGGAAGCAAGTGTATCACAATTTAAAGTAACTGAAACACACTGGCAGTAGTGCAGTTTTGTATAGACCTTTCTCTGAACACTCCCATCCTTTTAAATCTATGTTAAAATTGTGAAATGGCCTAGAAGTGAAATTTGAGGAACGCTAGTTAGAATCAGCATGTCGGTTCAGACATGGGAGGCGAAGGATCTGGATATCTCTGTGAATAGCTTGGGAGGAAGCTCTACTTAGGCCGAGGTGAGGTATGAAGAACAGAATAGAAGGTAATCTACGATATGCTGCCTTTCAAACCAGTGATGATGATTGATAGAGTATCGCACTCTTTTCTGTCTCTTTCAGAAAAGATACAGAAGGTCATGATGAAAAACCTCCCTTTCTTGAGAACGGGGCCTTTTTTTGCATAGTTCCAACTTAATTGTGGAACTTGCCATCAAAGGTATGGGTTTGGGGTGTGTGTGTTTGTTTTTGTTTTGGTTTGTTTTTTTAATTATAAAAGTGAATAATGTCATGCAGGCAAAAGTTAGGCATGAAGTTATAAAAATTTGGGATATATTTCCATTATAGGCATTCTTACTGTTTTGTCCAGAATCTCTCTCACTGCCTATTGCTCATATATTATACTTAGTAGGTCACTCAGAAACAAGTATTTCAGTACTTATATCTCTCTGTTTTGTTTGTTGAGCTGTTATTTCCCCTTCTGAGGAAGTGCTGTGAAGTCATGGAATCTCTGCTGCTCTGGTAAGATGGAAAACAGACGGGTTCTTCAGTGGTCAGCAGTGTTTCTAGCTGCCTCTGGGTTTTTTGGCCTCTCTGTTTCTGTCAGTCTGCATGATTTCCCCTTTGTAAATACATGCTGGCTACTCCCAATCACCTTCTTGTCCTTCATGTGTTTGGAAACAGTTTCCAGGATTATTTGCTCCACCTTCCCAGGGATCAGGGTGAGGCTAACAGGCCTGTAGTTGCCTGGGTCCTCCTTCTTGCCCTTGAAAACAGGGCTTTGACGCTTTCTTGAGTCCTCTGGAACCTCACCCATCAGCTTAAAACTTTCAAACATGGTTGAGAGTGGCTTCACAATGACAGGGCCAGCTCTCTCAGCACTCATGGTGGCATCTCATCAGGTCCCATGGAAGTGTTATGTCCAGTTTGTTTAAAGGTTTCTTAATCTGATCCTCCCTCACTCGGAGTAAGTCTTTCTTGCTCCAGACTTTCCCACTGCTCTCAGGGGTCTGGGATTCCAGAAGGCAGGTCTTACCCGTAAAGAGCCAGGTGAAGAAGGCGTTTTGACCTTTTTGTATCCTTTTACCAGGTACCCTGCCCCATTCAGCAGCAGGCCCACATTTCCCCTAGCCCTCCTTATGCTGCTTGTGTACCTGTACAAGACTTTCCGTTTGACCTTCATATCCCTCACCAGATTCAATTCCAGGTGGACTTTGGCTTTCCTAACCCCATCCCAGTACACTCAAATGGTGTTTCTGTATCAAGTGTGTGCACACACTTGATGTGGCCCCACTTCACCTCTGTTTTGTTGATTTATAATCAACATGATTATATGTTGATTATAATATATTATATTATGATCTCTATTGTCCACATCACCCTGCATCCTTTGCTTGCAAACCCTGACCACCACTTCCTCCCTTGATCATAGGTCACCACCTCCCTCTCTCATAGTTCCTAGTTTAAGCCTTCCCTTAGCAGATTGACCAGCCTGTTGGCAAAGATGCTTTTACCCCACATAGTGTCAGGTGGATCCGCACCGCCTCCCCTGCAGTTCTTGATTCTCAGAGGAGGTCCTATGGATGTAAAAGCTGAGTCCCAGCTTTTGACACAAGCTGCACAACCACTTGTTGGTCTGTGGGATCTGTCTACTCCTCAAGTCCTTCCCCTTCACCAGCAGGATGAAGGAGACACCACCTGGTCCCCAAGCCCTGGTCCTCATACTCCAAGCCACGTAGTCATGCTTGATACGCTCTGGACTCTGCTGGCCATATCTGTGGTGCCCATATGGAAGAGCAGCTGAGCTTAACAGTCTGAGGGCCAGACTACTACCAGGCTCAGTAATAGCCTATCCGTGGTATCCAGGACCCAAGCCCCTGGCAAGCAGCAAACCTTGCCAGGTGACGGGTTGGGCTGGCAGAGGTGCCTCTGTCCCTGCCGCAGGGAGTTTCCCACCACTGTTCCTTGCCTCATCCTGCCCGCACTGCCACAGGACTTGGGCACCGCCAGCTTGGAGGCTTCATTGGACAGAACTCCCCGTCTTTGCCTGCTGCCAGGGCTCGGAACCTGTTCTGTAGATCAGAGCTGCAAGCGGAGCAGGAACCGTCCTCCTGGTGCCAAAGCTCACAAGCTCCCAGGCTTTGCCAGACTCAGCATCTCCATGCCTAGCCTGACAAGCTAAGGCTCTGCCTGCATCTCCTTGGTGCAGTGGGTATTCTGTAGCTACAGGGTCTCGGAGGGGATCTGGTCCATCTCCTTTTCATCATCCCTGATGTGCAGTCTGTTCACCTCCTCCCCCAGTTTCTCTGCTTGATGAGACAGATCCTCCATCAGTGCATGCTTAGAAGGATATAAAAAGTTTTTTACTTCTAAACCTGCTGGTTGCCAAAGCTAACTTACAACAGAGACACATTAAGAACTGGCAGATTCAGGAGGATAATACTATATCATTTATATGTCTAGAGACTGTACATACATGTGTAGTATATTAATACCATGTATACAACAGACTATGGTGCATGCATGCTACATATAGTGAAATTAAAAAAGAATAGTAAATATAGGCCTAAATAGTTTTTATGATTATCATGAACTTAAAAACAGTTTTAAGGGCATAGTAGCTGTGTTCAGTATGCAACATGGGTTCGTAAAACAAGTGTTAGTGAATTTGATGCATTTTTAGGATAAAAATAAGCAGTTAATACTCTGCTATACTTGAATGGGAACACTGTTGCGCTGGAAGACAGCAAACAAAGGGTTATGATAAATAGTGCATAGGAGAAGTGTGGAAAAATGTCAGATGGCTTACTTGGGTCTGATTTTGATTAGAGATCTAGAAAAAGAAGAAAACGACATTAATGAAACTTGTGGATAATATTAAGCAGAGAAGTTGTGAATGCGAGTGAGGATAGACAAACAGGTACCAAGTAAGCAAAACCCCTGGAAACAGAGATGTCTGACTGATAAACAAGATGAAATTTCAATGCAACAAGTAGAAGCTGAAAGGAATGGAAGGAAATCCATCTGAGATGGACAAGTCCCCTGAAGCCGAGAAATCAGGGAAACTGATGGGTAGGAGAGTAGCTTGGGGTTTATGTGTGTGTTGCAATATTAAGATATGTGTAGGAAGGCAGCCTGGCAAAAGAAGTAACAGTAGCAATCCTTCCCTTGAAGGTTCTGCTGAATAGTGCTTACGACTTAGTGCTGTGTTTTTATGAAGATCAATTTATGAAGCTCTGAAGTTCATACTGTAGGACTTGGTGGGGTTTCTTCAGTCTAAAACAAAAAAGAACCCAGCAAGCTAAACTATCAGAATGGAAACCTTCATGTTTTAAGTGTGATTAATAGTGAGAAAACTTACTATTGTATGATACCTCTTAATGATCTACATGAAAGATGTTAGGGTAGTGTAGTTCCTTTCTCTATTGGTTTGCTATAAATGCTGTGAAGGAGGTTTTTTATGCAGGGAAAAATGACAAATTCCTAGGGAAGCTTGTGACTGTTTCAGCATACAAGCTTTTAAAAATAATCTTGAAATACAGTTGGGAGACTACGACAGATAGGTGGGATGAATCCTTGTATAACATAAATCATTCCCTGTATTTCTTGTTTGCTTTGCAACCTTTTTATTTTGATGGGAGACTTCTTTCCTTTAATGTTTGTATCCTTTGCTGCTGCCAGCTGGCTGACCGTTGCTTGCTTTACCTATTAATAGTTTTCCCAGGTACTTGTTTTACTTGCACCTTGATGATAAATGTTACTTTTTAGCAAGATATAACTAATTAATGAAACCATAAAATTTCTCTTCCTGGTACTTGAACAGTGTATGTGAAATGTCTGTAAGTTTTCATTTAATTCCTTACATCAATAACTGACAGGGGTTTTTTTTTCCTATTTGAATGTATGTGGAACCCTGTAGGTTGCATGGTACTAGTTAATTTACTCTTTTTTTTTTTTAATTTATCTCTCTAGGATAATCTTTTCTTCCTGGGTCGTGACAGATTATTACCTGTTTGTGTTCGATGGGACGACGAATTCACTTTGTGGTTGACCCTCAGGGTTGGTGCTGCATGGGCCTGATTATCTTTGTCTGGCTGTACAATACAATCTTCATTCCAAAAGTCATCCTTTTTCCTCACTATGAAGAGGGACATATTTCAGTTGTGGCAATTTTCTGTAAGTCAATTTAACTTAGCCCTTTTTTCTGCTAGTAAAAATAGTATCTTTGGGCACTAGTTAACATATATGAGAAAGGTCAGAAAATACAGAATAAGGTAAAGGATAAAGACAAAGGATAAGATAAAGAATAAGAGTACTGGGACACATCCTACATTTTTGTGTTCTGAGAAGTTGAGACATTTCATTCATTTCAAAGGTGTTATGGTAAAACTTGTTTGTGTGGAAACTGGGGAAAAGCATTAATATGGCTTTCAGATCCTGTAGCTAGAACTTTTTGAGAATTTCAGGCCCACAACTCTTAGTGCTTGTCAGAATTTGGGGTGGTAGTACTGATGGTTGACAAACGGAGTTTTGTTAGTTTTGTCATACATCCCTGGATGGGTCAGCTAATATGAGTTATGCTAATAGGTTTTGCTGGGGAAAAAGCTTGGATTATAACTGGAACCAACTTTGAAGTGAAGGTGGACTATTGAGAATGTCCTTTCACATAGAGGCTTTGAGGTGTAGAATGATTGGTGCTTATTTGATAAGACAGTGGAGGAACTTCTTAAATATAGTAGTAAGGTCATAGTGGCATCCTGCTGGTGCTATCAAAACAGTGTTCACTGCTACCTTTTCCTCTCCCTTTTTAAGACTGGGGAGTACTTAATATTGTAGACTGCATAGGACCAAAAATGTATCTGGAATTGAATGAGAAGGCTGAGTAATTTCCAACTCATGGATGGATGCTGGAGCATCTATATTTTTGATGCAGTGTATTGTAGATATTTTGTACACCTGAAAAAGACTAACAAAGGCTTATTTATTTTTTCAGGTTATTACTTCTGCTCATTGTTTTGTATAGCTTCATTACTAAGAGCCTCAGCAGCTGATCCAGGAAAGCTACCTGAAAACCCAAAGATACCAATTACAGGTACATTAAGTTGTTTCTATATAATTGAATAATAAAAATTCTTTTAATGTCCTCAAAATAATTAAGAATCAATTTGGTTTTGTGAGATTTGATGGAAACCATGAGCTGTCTCTGCTGAAGCATTGTTAATGAAATTAAAATCGGCATGTCACTGTTTGTAACTTGTAAATTTCTAGCACTTTCCCTTGTGTAGACTCAAAACTTCTTTTTCAAAAGTTGTATTCCATCGGAAGTTTAGTTATGTAGGAACTTCTGCTAGGAAGGTTTTTCCATGGGAAGAACTTTTTTGCATTCTAGGCTTTCAAACATATTGCATATACTTCTAACTTGATAATATTTAATAAAAAATGTTTAGAGATGGTTAGTCATTATAATTCTACAGCTTTTTTCTAAGTTAATTTATAAGATGTCGAAAGTGGTCGTAGAAGGTACTCTTACACTGGATTTTACCTGTGCATTTTTTACACATTTTTTTCAGTGGCTTATGTTTGTATGGGCTGTTAACCAAACAAATGTGATGCTAATTACATTGCATTGCTATAGAGTAGCAACTTAACATGTGAGAATTCCCTTCTGTCCTTGTGAATTTATCCCACAATTCCTGTATGGTATTCAATGCTCCAGAAATTGGAGCAAATTTGAAACCTTAATAATTCTCCACAGAGAAAGCCAATATTTTTATGAACTGTTTGATACTATTAAGGTGCTTGTCTAATGCATAGAGCTTTTATGCAGCAGTTTAGAATGGAGTAGGGCTATTAAACAGCATGAGCTTTGTCACATTAACAGAAAATACTTTTTGAATGTAGAAAATGTATCAAATGCAGTGAGGGGTGAATATTTCAGTCTTGTCTTGCAACATGGTGGATGCCAGGAGTAACATTTTGCTCTCTCTTCCTGATGTTAGTGAGAACCTAGGATGATGTGTTTGGAAACATGATCTGTGTAGCCTCAGCACTGATGCTACCATATGCACAAACTGGGCGGCAGATAGTAGGAAAGGATGTATCTCCCTGGGATTCAGATGTGAAACAACGATTGCAGAAAATCTCATGTTGGTGTTCTTTCTGCTCCTGGTAATTGAGCCTTTGATCCAGTAAAATGAAAGGTGGCTCAGACTTGGGTTCTGCAGTCAGAGTTCTTGCTGCAGGAAGAACAACATGGATTCTGCAACCTGACCTGAAGAATGAAGACACTCTGTACAGTTACAGACAATTACATTTATGACTGAATGTTCATTTACCTGCAAAATACTAGGACCAGTACAAATTTCCTTTGTGTGCAAATGTTTCTTTCTCTTTTAAGTGATCCCTTTGAATAGCTCTCTAACCTCTTCATGCTCCATTCATTTTGTATGGCAGTGATACTTCATAGATACTTCTGAAGATGGAACACTTAGACTTGACTGTGACATTGATATTATGATTTGGTGTGTGCTATATCAAGGGGTTTGTACTTTCTAAAGTAGCACTTCAGTTCTCTGGTATTCTCTAGGTTGACAGGAAGATACATTTTTGCATGGTATAAATTGTATTCAGAAATGAGGTTGGGGTGTTTCTGAACTCTGCTGGTAGCTACCCTATTAGGGAGTGACACCTTTGTGACACTGGATTTATGGGAACAGATTGTAAATCAGTTTCCATCTGGCATTATTACTAGTTTAATGATCTCAGATGTTGGGCTTCCTTACTTCCAGTGTCCAAATGTTATTTTGCAGCAAGAAAGACAAGATTAGAGCTGCCTGCAGGTGGCTCAGAAATACTAAATTTAGCTTTATTTTGTTTATATAGGGACAATGCTTTACCATATAAAATTTCAGAATGCCCTACTGTAAAAACTAAGCTTATTTTTTTTCCCCTGGGATTTAAGAAATTTCTCTGCATCAAAAAAGTTCTATTTATGTAGAAACAACCAGTCAAAGTATTTAAGATTCTCAGTCATGCACCTGTTTTCCTTAAAGACAGAAAATACTTCCATTTTGTGAATGGAAGTATTACAGTGTTGGTGTGATTTCTTTCCCATGTGAAGATGAACTTTCTGAGTATTATAATTTGAATTCTCATTTTCAAAGGCTTCCTCTAATTTGGGTGGTGCAATCTGAGATAAATTATAGCTAAGCTGAGCAATAGTAGCTCCTGGTGGTTTCAGCTACTCAGTATCTCTGGACATCAGCTTAAAGAATCTCACATTGGGCATCCAAAAATAGTGTATAATTTTGAATACAAGCCTATCCTCTATCTGTTCTTTGGTTGCCTTATGTGTAAAATTGCATGTTGAGAGATGCAGGTCTTAAAATGCTTTGAGATGGAAGATGCTCCTGAAGTGTTCATTGCATGTTTTATGTTAGTTAGCTAGCTTTGACAAATTTGAGTAGCAGTATTTCCTCAGGAGGTTTTGGAATGGCAGGGAGGTTGCACGATGGTTCTCTAGCAGATATGTTTTTTTACAGTAGATGTGTAAGAAAATAACTGAATTACGGTCTTCCTTGTTTGAGTGACAGCTTTTGCGCTGTAATAATTATTCCCTATAAATATATAGGAGGGGAGAGGATTTTGGAGAAAACTGTCACAGAGTGGCAGTAATATATTCAAGTTTAATTAAGGTGACAGTGGGAAAAAAGTTTTCTATATGCTGCTTACCCTTCTCAGATCATAGTAAGAATTTTTTTCTCTTTGAATCACTAGCATACAGATTTATCATGAGCGTGCTGTACTGAGTTTAAATCTCTGTAAGGCATCTTTACATTTTCACCTAGAACAAGAATATTGGGAATTATGTAACAAATGCAATATGATGAGACCAAAGCGTTCACACCATTGCAGTCGTTGTGGACATTGCGTGAGGAGGATGGATCACCACTGTCCATGGTAAGACCAGGACATTGGGTCTAACAGTCTGCTGTTGTTTTAGTGAATCATTTCAAAGTTCATGGTCTTGACTATTGCTCATTTGTCATATTTTTTCCCAGTAGTGCTTAATCATCTAGGAATTTAGAGCAGGGAAAGAACAGCTTTGAGCCTTTGTTATGTCTACAAATAAAACTGACAGTAAGAACTGTTGCAGTGTTACATTTTATCATTGTCAAATTGTTACATGCCATATAGTTTCGGAAAATTCATGTATTTTGTTTAAAGAATTGGAATTTCTACTCCCAGAACTGATCTCAACATAATTAATTTGTACATTCCAGATTTATTTCATTTGTTGCAATTTAGTTTCTGATGCTGGAAAAAAGTATTTTTTGTAGGAAATTAAACAATATGTTTCTTGGATTGAAATAAAAGATTACAATTTCAACATAAGAGGGGATGCTCTTTATAATAATAAAAATAGATTATGGTTTCAGACAGTTTTGTTTTTAGTTTTTACTCAATGGCTGTTTTGCGTAGAAA